TATCAGTCCGTGAATCCGTGAATCCGTGAATAATAGAGTTCTCGACAAATACGCTTAGTTGCGAATCAATCTGATTTTCGTGGGAGACCTTAGTAACCGAAAGTTGGAGGCGTAGTCAACTGCTTTAGCGTGCTACTAAAACGTAAGAATCCACAAATAGTGCCCGAACGGTCCGACTTGTGACTTCTGCTATTCTGTTGGCAGGATTAGTTTGATTGGCGCTTTCACTCCAGGGACGACAAAAGTCAGTTTCCGAAAATCAAGAGGGCGATCCGCGTTTATAGCTTCAGTACTCGCAAGGGCATTTCAAATGTTTGCAGGCCACCCCACGGTTCTCCACCTGGTCGTTAGAGTGAAGCATAAAAAAACTAGGAGGTCTGTTTGTTCCTCTTGCACGTAACTACCCTGTGTGAAGGGAATCATACCAAGCTTTTGTAACGACAAAATTCAGAAGCGACACCGCCACTTTTGTCGGCTCGGTCGTTTTGGAAAACTAGCCCCAGAGGATCGTCACAGTACCCCCACACTGATGTTGACTGATGATGCCTTGACACACCCAACTGCAGTATGAGACAGCTGGATTACTCTTGGTAGCCCACCTACCGGCGATGGAGGGCTTCAGGCATTATTTTAGGCAATAGAGTTCTTTGTTCCCCTTCACGCGGTCTACTGAGTTTTCGTGTTCACATCCGCAAAAATCAAAAATGTTTTAGTTTGTCACCCTGTGGCGAATAAAAGTGTTTACACTAGATTCTCCCACTCATAAGCGACGGTCTTGCCCCTAATTCGGCAGGTGCTTTGTTTCCGCGTGATGCGTACCAACTTTGAGGTAAACAGTTTATACAGGCGTAGGAGTAGGTGGAGTAGGACGGCCGCTGTATCCGGTTATCCTGCAGTCCTGTATACACAGAGTGTCCCCAGGGTATCCAAGCTAGCCATTGCATTCTGACTTCCGCATTTAACGGACATCCGTTTGTCCCAGCTCTCTTATGGTTCACCAACGTTCTTAGCGGACGATGATGTGCCATAATCAGTCCCATTTTGGCAACTGCGTGATTACAAGCAAAAAAGGGCAAACTTTTCCACGGATTCACGGACTGATACACAGGATTGAGGCTATTGCCCAAGTTTCCCGGGTCGGTTTTGTTCTTGTCGGTCAGTGGCTGTCGTTCACCTGAAAGGCACAAGTGAAAAAAGGGTGTAGCACTGCTCTTTATGTTCTCAGCGCGGGGCAGTATGCTCGCCAGCGCGAGGATTCGCATAAATAAATGTCTAATAGCGCTTTAAACTGGGTTCCAGAGGGGGCGTGGACAACCGTCGGAGGAAGGTAATTCCACGCGCCCACTACCCGAAATCAGGAAAAATTTTGTCTAATGAATGTATGCTCTGAGCTTGAAAACGTTCTTACTATGTCCCCGCCGTGTGTTTGCTGGGTCAGCGGTAAAAAACCTGCTTGCCAAGCTTTGTTCAAACAGGGCATAAGTAAGAATTAGGTCCCCTCGGAGGCGACGGCACTCCAGGGTAAAGAGATCAAGCATCGCGAGATGCGTTTCGTAGTCCACGGCTTTGAGGCCGGCAACCATTCTCGTAGCGGCCCGCTAAGCATGCTCAATGAGGGTGACGTCTTTCGTGCGTCCTGAGTAGACAACTTGGTTGGCGTACTCCAGGAGCGGTCTGACTTAGGCCCCATAGAGTAGTTGGAAGTCCATGCGAGTAATACGGGAGAAGGTGCTTCTGATTATACGTATAGATTATGCTCGTGTGTAAGACATTCAGGGTGAATCATGCGCTTAACCGAGTAAATGGGTAATGCAGTGCAATAATTTGTTAAAAAACTTGCATAAACGAAAAGGAACCCAGTTTTTAACGTACCGCCAGTTCAGCGATTGAGCGGAACAGCTGACGGAAGTTAGTAGGTAGCAACCAAAGTCCAAAATCTCCGACAACGCCCTGTTGCCCGAGCCAGCCTGGTTTGTAGCTGGTTTGTATCCTGAGTGTTTCCATCGCCAAGAATAAACAACGCGGTGACACTGCAGTGGCTTAGGTGTAGCCTTCAATAGAAAATGTATGGGCATACAGTTACCTCAGAATAAATCAGCATTCCAATTGTAGAAAACAACACAGTGTTGTGTTGAATTATGCTAGACTAGCACATCAATGTAAGAATCGTCAAGTTTAGTTATTTCCGGTCAAGATAGTCGCAAATTACCGCTTGTTGACAGTACATTTAAAGCATTATTAAAATTTAAAAAATACGACAAGATTTTTAGCTCCTGGAATGCTCTGGATTAATATATCTCATTCTGAGTGACAATTCGTCTAGGTCCATTATTCCTAAAATGCGCCGGTCAGTATGTTTGACAGCTGATAGTCTCACATCATTTTCTTGAGGCAACCACTGCTGCCTGATTTAAAAATGAGACTATGGGAAGCGAAACCGCTTTTCGCATTTTTTATTGGGTTTTAATTCCTGAGGCTAAAGAAGTGTAATTATACTGCAAACACAGTTCGACACTTTCCAAAAGCCCCTTCATAACACTATCAGGTTTTGCATTTAAAAAAGGGTGCCATAGATGTTGTAAAGATATCTTCGTCCGGTGCCAACTTACACAAGTTGCCGGTATGACATGATCTGCTATCGGAGGATCCAACTACCTAGTGATTTTCAAGATCGGAACAAATCGTGGGTTGCCAGGGGCATTTAATCATACTTATTTGTAATGCCCTTTTAAAAAATGTACGGCACCAGCATCAGGGGTGGCGCGGGAAACATCTGAAGAATATCGTGTCCTTGGTCATGTACATACCCTCTGTCATGTACATGTCCATTGTCATGTCAACGGCCTACAAACCTTTGATGTATGTACCCGGAACTCACGAAAATTGGTGGGGAGGCACTGATCAGATATTGACATCTTTTGCCTAAATAGCCTGAGAGACTAGAAAGTCGTTACCCGGGAGGCCAAAAATTACTACGCGAGTGGACCGAAATATGGTATCTCGTATAAGGGGAGGGTGTCAGACATATTGGTGGTTAATGCCGGTATTATGAAAATGAGGGTAAACAAGGCCCTTCAAAAGTAAACTTGTTCCAATAAAACTAAGAGATTTCGTCTCCTTTTTCGAAGAGCTCTTGTATCATGGGTGCTCAGTATTCGCACAATGCAACCGAATTTTTCAAAGCTATGATGGGTCCCTGGTGGACTAGAGCCATCGGACAAGTGAATTCAGTGTATCAATCCAGATTTTCGAGCCTCATTTAGGGATCCCGGGATCTCAGCGATGCTGGGAAAGTGTTTCACCAGACTTCCGCCGGAGGTATGATTGCTTCAGTGGACAATGAAATTCGGCGTGCTACAAAAATATTAGAGTAATTTAGGATGATTTTTAGTTTGGACACACAATCAAACCGTGTAACATTTAGGCAGAAAAAGTTCCACGTCATTCGTAGAGGTTTTTCAGCTAAGAGTATTGTGCTGCTAATGGGCCCCTGCATCATGCACAATATTTCGAGCCATTCAAACGGATCTTAAGTGTTCCTTGCACAAGATTAAATGCCTGAAATTCTGAGATTTGAAGGCGTCATACGGACTGCCGCGAAGCCGGATGTGGGAATTGCATGAATGATCCAGTGGTTCAAGTTTATTTATTGATGATTACTGCTTTAAAACAGCCAGAGTGTGTCTTCAACACCTTTCATTTATTTTCTGCAAACAGTGGAATTCTGGCCGATTTTACAAGAAAAAATGCGAAGTAGTATATTGTCACAAAGTGCTAATGGGGTGAGCAGCTCAAGCCATGTGCATCCACCTCAACGTGCCTGAACTTTATTTAAATGATAAGTGCTAACAAGAGACTTATACAACTCTCACTTTTGTGATATTTTCCATGTTAAATTGTCAGACGCCATTCAAAAAAGCGGGGAACCAACTGGAAGCCTACTGGTGGTGCTCGTTATCTTAGAACTCATAAAATTGGTACAGTCCACGAGCTCCCTTCCGGATACATTATATCTAGAAACAATAGTATACGCCATTGGCGAAGTACACTCAGTTGTGGATTCACGGATTCACGGATTGATACACAGGATCGAGGCTTTTGCCCAAGTTTCC